GTGCCAGAAAACTTTACAGGTGAAACAGATAATTATAGTTTGAAAAAAGATTGCCGGCAAAACCCATGACTACAGGCTTTTGAACAGTTACTAAAGATTGAACTATTAATTAAGGAAGAAGAAGAGCTTTTTAGCTTCAAATGCAACCCCTTTTCACGCTCTTAAAAAGGTTTAAGCCTCTCAACTGAGTTGTCTTACCAAAGAGGCAAAGACATGAATTGGGGATTTTGAGAACTTCTTGAAGTCAAAAAGCTAGAAGGGCCTAACTTATGCATGTCAAACTAGCATCCTAAGTAAAAACAATATATGAAGTATATAATATCTTCTGCAACTCCTTTGTCAATATTTGTATTTCGCATTCTACAGTATAAATCTTGAACTAACGCAACGCTTTTGCAAGGCATAACGGTTTTTAGGGCAAGAAGAGTAAAAGAATTTAGTTCAAAAGAAGAAACATGGGGAAATGTTTTTCAATTAATTTCTACTTCAATGATAAAACAACATAATGACATATCTTCATTAAGCAAATAAGCTAATACAACTGTTCCAAAAATAGCGGCTTGAATCATAAAACTCCTCAAAACATGTGGATGCTTATCCACTTGAAGTACAAAGTTTAACACCTATTCTGCGCGGAAATGGGAGAGAGTGAGTCAAAAGTCCTTCAACCGCTTGAGCAGCTTGGAGGCCCACCGCTTGACACGCCAATTCATCGTGTACCCTACGAATATTCCAGCAACAAAGAACACCGCACAAAGCTTTGAACACGTCCACAGTGATACCATTTGTCTGTAATCCCAAAGATTTTGTATTTTTTACCATGAGATTCAAGACCTCAGCTTTCATTAATCGGTTTGGATTGATATTAACCTAAGTGAAACTAGGCAGATTATGAGATTCACTCTCTTTGGAGTTTTATTTTATTTTAGTAGCCTGAGCTAACCCAGGTGAATCATTCACCCTGACTCACTACATTTCAGTTATCCAAAATAGGGAGCGATAGGGGTGAATGTCTTATGTAGTCTTACATCCGGTTTTAGTTCAACTCAATCCAAACATGGTCATAATAAAATTAACCTGGGCAAAGTTGTTACAAAGTATTATCCTGAAAGCATGTTGAGATATTCACTTCATGGTCTATTTTCTGTTTTTATCCAAACGTTTTTTGCTATAACCTAGACTAGAAGCCTCAACCCAAAGGGGGCACAAAATTGAAAGTAAATGAACTTCAGAATAAACGAAAAAAGCAAACTTCACCTGGGGGGTCGGGCGAGCAAGAGCTGAGAGTGATCAGCAGCTGCTCGTGTGGTTTGTGAGGAGCCAGAGGTGGAAGAATTGAGGTTCGATTTTTCAAAGAAGGAGGAAATTGAGCGTATGGTGGTCTTTGGATCCTGCGAAATGACATCGCGGCAAGTTTTTTGGAATTCCTCCATGGAAACCGAGCTATACGCACAAACAAGAATACTGCGAGCCCCCCTTCACGTTGGGCGGCTGGGGTTTAGGAATGTGTGCACTTTACTTTTCACAGTTTACAAAAGACTTTCAGTCTTTCACCCGTTTTGGTAATGGTGTTTTTTGACTTATTAGTATCACTTTTCATTTCGGGAGGATAAATGCTTTTTTTTAAGTTATTTTCAAGAATTCATTTGAATGTCTTCCCGATTGAAATTTTAGTTGAAATGTGGTATGAGTAAACTAGACTTAATGAATAAAATGCTCAAAAAATTTCATCAAAAACTCTCACCGGCAACTACCCCAAATGACGACGGTCGGACAGAACCTCCTATATAAGGGTTTTTTTGACCTTTTTATGTAAGTTTGAGGGCCACCCTTTTCTCTAAAATTTATCAAGTAATCTTTTGATTGAATTGATTATGTTTGATAGGGAAGACATTTTTTATCTTTTACATATTATTTATTTTTTATACACATTCTTTATTCTACATTGCTGTATGGCGTAGAGTGTTGGGCGGTGAAAGAATGTCGCATTCAAAAGATGAGTATGGCAGAGATGCGCATGTTGCGTTATATGTGTGGGCATACTAGGAAGAACCACGTGCAAAATGAAATAATTAGACAAAAGGTGGGAGTAGCACCTATTGAAGACAAGATGCGGGAGTTTCGCCTACGGTGGTTTGGTGATGTGAGTAGAAGACCAAGTGATGCACCTGTTAGACATGTTGAGATGTGTGGAGAAGAGGCAAGGAACAGAGGGAGAGGAAGACCCAAACAGGCGTGAGTTATGGGAGTGTGAAGTGATATGCTTCTTCTTGGGTTGGATGAAAGTATGACTTTGGAGAGAGCAAAGTGGAGGAGTGATCTCATATTATTTTTTCCCCTCATCTTTTTTTTCTTGTTTTTTATTCTTTTGTCCTTATATATAAACATTATTTTTATCTTTTTTATTTTATTATTTTTAGGTATATTCATCTCGTTTTATATTATCTATTTATAATAGTTTATTTTTATCTTTATTGTCTTTCTTTTCCTTTTGGTGGTGATATCATGTATCGATTGATGTTAGCGGACCTCAATATCTTTTGAAACTAAGGTTTGGATGTTGTTGTTGTTATTCTTTATTTTGTACAGAGTATTCCTCTATTGGAGATGGTAATTTCAAATTAGCGAAATTATTATAATTAAGAGTAAAATGTTGCTTAAATTCCAAAAAAGGAGTATGCATATTTTTATTCTCTAAATAAGACGATTATAAAAATTTACTACCCTTTTAATCTAATTATTTGTTAATCGTTTACGGTTGAAGTTTTCTTCTCCCATTCATCTTCTACATTTGCTACAACGATGAGCTTCGATGTGAGACAGTGATGGCGAGCTTCGAGGTGAGGCAGTGCAGGGGCCAGTGGCAAGGGGCGAGAGAGCATCGTCGAGTAGCAATGGGGAGCGACGGAGCATATCGGCCGGCGGTAGTAAGCATCAGTGAGCATCACGAGCAGCGGCATAACATAGGTGAGTAGTGAATACAAATATTGTGGCCGAAGTGAAATAAGTCATTGGTCTTCTCAACCCTCCTCTTGTGTCGTCATCATCATCTCCCCCTCCCCCCTTCATCCTCCCTTCCCCCTCCAGGGGCGGACCCAAGAAGTTTATCTTGGGGGGAGGGCGGTAACTTAAAAAATATATTTTTGGGGAGGGTAAAAATTATTTTTTGATATATATATACACTAAAAAAAATTGTTGGAGGGGCGACTGCCCCCCTGTGTCTCTACTACGGTCCGCCCCTGTCCCCCTCTCTCTCTCCTTCTCCAACTCTCCTCCCCTCTCCTCCTCCTCCTCCTCCTCCTCTTCTTCCTTAATTCCTCTTGATAGATCTTGTGGTTCTCTCTCTACCTTTCTATTATGTCACTAATTCTCCATTTCTTTTTTGGCTTAAGAAAAAAATGTCACATTTAACTTTAGAAACCCAGTCAAGATTTCATTACGAGTCTTTTAAAATGTTATGTTTTGCTTAGAAAATGCCATTAAGATGAGTAAATGAAAGTATGATTCAATATGACATTTCGATAAACATGTTGTCATTTTTACCGATCATCGGTGATGATAGTGTCGAAAGGCTCAACGGCTGCAAAAGACACTGAATTTTTTATTAACAAAACATACTTTTGTTATATTAAAATATGTTGAGGAACTGACATAAAGAGGATTATTCACTCATATCTTGGGAATATAAACATTCTACACTTGTTCTCGTAAATTAACATTTATGTATTCCTATCTAGGAAATTAACTTTTGAAATTGTTAAAAATCATTCAATATGATTTGTTGGAAATAAATGGACATATCATCCTAACTATTTAATTAGGAAGTCATTATCCTCATTATTTAAACAATTAAGAAATCATAATTGTGACTTTTAAAATAATGATTTTTAATTACCCCTCCGTCCCATTTAAAGGTTCCATGTTTTACACTTCCCGACGTCCCATATAAAAGTTCTAATTTCTATTTTGAGAATCTATTAACACTCTTAAATGACAATATAATCATCAAATATTAAAAATAATACATCTATAACACTACAATTATCATCAATGACCTCATTATATTATATTATATTATATTTAATCAACACTATTCTCAAAATATACTCGAATATCCTTATTTAATTATAGTCTAAATAATAGTGCTTATTTACAATGGGGATCTTTAAGCAAGATGAAGCTAGTATCTCATGAGCCAATTTGGTAACCATGTTTTTCGATTTATCAGACTTATGAGTCAAATTTTGTACCAAACACATAACTTTTAATTTTCCGCGTTGAATTGTATAATAATAAAAAAAAAATGGCTAAATGGTCAAATAGGTACATGAACTAACTTTAAGTGTTCAATTAGCCCCTTATATAGAAGGTTCTGCCCGGCCGTCGCCAATTGGGGCGTTTCCCGGTGGAATTTTTTGATGATTTTTTTTAGCATCTTCTTCATTAAGTATAGTTTATCCATACCAAATTTCAGCTAAAAATTCAACCGGGAAGGCAGTCAAATGATTTTTTGAAGATAACTGCGCAGGTAAACAACGCAGTACATTTTGGAAAAATCATTTGACTGCCTTCCCGATTTAATTTTTAGCTGAAATTTGATATGAGTAAACTAGACTTAATGAAGAAGATGCTCAAAAATTTTCATTAAAAAATTCCACCGGGAACTGCCCCAATTGGAGACGGCCGGGCAGAACCTCCTATATAAGGGGCTAATTGAACACTTTAAGTTAGTTCATGTACCTATTTGACCCGTTGGCCTAAAAAAATTAAGTCCGAAGTAATTTTTTCATATATTTTTTTTTTACATTGATAAAATATATTTTAAATATAATTTTTTAATAAATCAGGAGAATTTGTCAATTAAGCCAATTTAGGAAGAACTATAAATTTTTTAACAGAATCGATCGATACAATGGATTCAAATATTACCAAAAGGGCTCCTTGCTGACTTGATCTTTTTTTCTCACTAATCTCTTAATTTTTCCTCCATTTCATAGTCAAGCCAAGAGTGCAACATTGTGGGCAATGGGCATATCACATCTCCTGAGTCCTAACTCATTATCATCTCTATTATCTTCTCCAGTGCCAGTCCCAGTCCCCACCACAACCGTAATCTTGAACCACTGGTTCAGGAAGCTCGCGCTGACAGATTCTTTGAGAATTCACTACACAGGTTTCTTATTGGGAGCAAGCAAAGTACAGAGAGTTCTTTATCATTCCAACGCACAAATTAATGGCTTCTCTCTCTCTTTCTCCTAACCTAGCAAACCTCCCTTCTCTGCTCCATCCCCAATCTCCTAAACCCCCTCCATCTCTGAGCCTTGGCGTTCTATCCAAATCCGCCAAATCGCACCTTTATCCCCTCAAATTCCGTTACCCATCCTCGACCCCTTCTTATTCTTCAGCACCAAAGAGCTTCATCTTCGCCAAGGTGCATTCATCGATGAGCTATTTTTTAAAAAAGCTTCTTTTTTGCTCAGTTTATACTAACGGAATTGTTCGGGTTGTGGACGATTTTGATTCTACAGGTGACGAAAGGAACGGTGCCACCGGAGTTCACATTGAAAGATCAGGAGGGAAAGAATGCGAGCCTTTCGAAATTCAAAGGCAAGCCTGTGGTGGTTTATTTCTACCCTGCAGATGAGACCCCAGGCTGCACCAAACAGGTATGCTACACTCTTGCACTCTCATCTCTGTATTGTTTCAGATTCTGATGGATTGATGATAATAGTATGATACAGTCATATAGGCAGTGGCGTATCCAGAATTTCAACTGAGCGGGGGCGGGATTACAAGCAATGAAGCAAATATACATAATCTTTTGTACCAAAATATAAGTAATATCATTAATTCGATAAGATGTTTTGAGCAAAAAAAAAAGGTTTAAATTAAACTACAACATCAAAGACAAATTAACTAGAAAGTACTCCTCTACGTTCTTTCATATTTTGGAATCGTTGTAAGATTGCCTCGTTCGGAACAAGATCAAACATCGCTTTTTCAATGTATGGGACCAAGCAATCATTCAACAAATCATCACTCATACGATTACGCAAGGACGTCTTGATAAGCTTCATAGCTGAAAATGCTCTTTCAACACTAGCGGTTGCAACCGGTAGGATCAAAACCAACTTCAGAAGAAAATACACCATGGTGTAATCCAAATGCCTTCCTGTCTCAACCATTTTCTGAGCTAATTCATCAATCCCCGTCAGTTCAGAGAATATAGAATCAGATGACACGTCAATGAAATAAGTCTGAAGCTGATTATCCAAAATTTCAATTTCAATCTCGGAGAAATCATTTGGATAAAATGATGCAAGTCTCACTAATTTCTCCTTATTGAACTTCTCAAATGAATTTCGGGGATCAAAAGATGAGACACACAAGAGGAGCTCAGTATTTCTTTCATTGAAACGATCATTGAGTTCCTGAAGTTGTAGATCTAAAATAAAATAAAATATCTCGGCACGGTACCTTCGGAGATTTTTCCTCTCTTCGACTCTACGTCGTGATCTTCCAAGAGGCACATAATCCGCATCCATATCAAGAACTTCAATGTCAAATTTGTCACAAAAGAATGACACTTCTTCTAAAAGTTCCTCCCATTCACTTCTCAATAGTGTCAATCTTTGTTTTGAGACATCAACGAGCCTCATGGCATTAACTATGTTCTGGTCCTTCCTTTGCAATGCATGTGACAAATCATTAGTAATTCCTAGCACCTTTTTCATTATATGCAAGTAAAACACAAAATCAAAGCACTGGATGTTTTTCAATATTGAGTATGCCTCAACTTTATGCTTTGGGTCACTTGCATCTTCTTTTATCTCTTCAAGAACATCAATAACGGAAGAAAACAACTTCACAATGCTAACAAGTGCACTGTAGTGAGAACCCCACCGGGTGTCACCGGGACGCTTTAAAGTCGCCTCTTGATTCAAACCAGTCCCGGTTTCAATTGTTCCCGAAGAGATTGATTCAAACAATTGCTCAACTTGTTTGCCTCGTAGTTTATCTCTTCGCTTGCATGAAGCACACACGACATTACACAATTGGGAGACATGAAAGAAGAATAAAGAGACATCATCATTTTGTTTTGCCACCGCCACAAGTGCTAATTGGAGCTGATGAGCGAAACAATGAACATAGAAAGCGCTCGGATTATCATTCAGAATTAATGTTTTAAGGCCATTGAATTCACCTCGCATGTTGCTAGCGCCGTCATAACCTTGACCTCGTATTCTTGACATATTTAACCCATGTCTGGTAAGAAGAGCTTCAATGGCCGACTTAAGTGAGAGTGATGTCGTATCAAGAACATGGACAACTCCAAGAAGCCTCTCAATTATATGGCCGCGTGTATCAACATAACGAATAAAGACAATTAATTGCTCTTTCACTGAGATATCTCTTGACTCGTCAACAAGAATTCCAAAGAATTCACTTCCAAGATCTTTGAGTATGAGATTAGATGTCTCAGTTGCAAATGCATTGACAATGTCTTTTTGAACTAGTGGAGATAGCATTTGGTGATTCTCAGGTGCATTCTGCAATACCACTTTTGAGATTTGTTCATTATGATCTGCAAGAAACTTTAAGAGTTCAATGAAATTCCCACGATTAATAGACTCGTGACTTTCATCATGTCCCCGCAGAGGTAGGCCTTGCCGTAGAAGAAATCGTATACAATCAACAGATGCAGTCAATCGAATACGATATTCTTGCTTCATTTGCTCAGATTGTCTAGAGAGACATACTTCTATATGTTGCTCTTGAGTCATTAAAGCACGACAATCTTGTACATATCTAAAATGTACACTTTTATGATTTCCAGCATGAGCACGCAACCTTTCTGCCCCTTTTTTCCAATTAGTGAATCCTTCTGTCACAAAGGAATCACCTCCACTTTGTTGTCCAGTGCTGTTATCATCGAATAGATAACAACATAAACAATATGCTGCATCTTCGGATATGCTATACTCCAACCAATTACTATGGTCTTTAAACCATTGAGGATTGAACCTTCTTTTGGTGCCTGTAATCACTCTCGGGGGAAAGACAATGTTTTGAGGTTGAAAAGGCCCCATTTGAAGATATCGTCGTCGCACAATATCTCTATCATTGACATGATATTCATTCATATGCTTCCTTTTACCGGGATCAACTTCAAGATTTTCTAAATTTACTTCAATACGAGGTCGTGGGATAGAACCTTCCGCAGAGCTTTGATTAGATGAATCCTCTAAAGTAGACTTTCTTTTGTAAGGAAAATAACTTGCCAAGACTGATTTTTCCATAACTGGACAATAAAATATATTTCATAAATTCATTTAGAAATATTAATTACACATATTAATATATTATTCACAGAAATCAAAATCCTTAACAATCGCATAATGTTTATTTGCAACTGTCAATTGAAAATTGATATATATATATATATATATATATATATATATATATATATTATTTTGAATACTAAATCGTTGAAAATCTTGAAATTACTTAAGCAAAATATGCCTAATTCCTTCATATAGCAGCTACCAAACGTCCAGACCAATTAATCACAATCAATGAATGATGAATCAAATGACAAATCCACAATTGAAACAAAATTCTCATACTACAGAACAAATTAAGGCAAATCATTCATTCACAAATCCACAAGTAAGAACGTAAAATAGTTGATGAAAATAAACGCTTCAAGAAGGAAGAGTCCAGAATCTTACCTTGACCTTTGAGAAGTAAAAATTTGAGGCAAATAACTCCTTGATAGGTTGGCGCAGCGTCGCAGCCAGTAAGCCACGCCGGAGTTCCCAGTCAGTCAGAGGCTTCAGCGGTTCAGCATCGCTAAGGGTCAGAGTTCCGAGTCGGTCAAAGGTTTCAACTTCGAAGTACTAGGAGTTTCTCGCTCGTTGCCGCTCGCCTGTCTGGCGGTCTGTAGACTGGAAGAGTCGAAGTCGATTGGAGATTTCAGATTTGGAGCTAAAGATCCGAGGAGGGTCAGCTTAAGGTCTCGCTGAAAAGAACTCCCGCTTGGCCGCTGCGCTGCTTCAATCGGTAAACCTATTTTTTTAAAAAATCCCAAAACGCACAAAACGACCAAAACGACGTCGTTTTGATATTTGCCCAGAAATTTGAGTGGGGGCAGCTGCCCCCCCTGCCCCCACGTTGCATACGCCCCTGCATATAGGTATGAGTGATTGGCAGAGTTCGTGGTAAAGGACACCCATAATTCATTGACATCTTTCATTTTTATCCAATGTGTCAAAGCTGTTTGGGTATGCTGAGTATTAGAAACCTTAAATTGGGACCCGAAAGAGTACCAGTCAGTCCGGGGTAAATAGTCATTTGAACACACTTCTCCGAATCCATATGTATGTAGCATAGATACAGAAACGTGGAAACCGTACGGCGATATGACAAAACCAAAAAATATAAGATATGAGCACATGGGTGTAATGGTGTATTTATAAATATTAAAAATTATCAGAATCTATATGCAATATACATACATATATGTGTGTGTTGTGCAATGAAAGTTAAACACATAAATTATTCTTGTAAAAATTTGCAGTTGTGGTTAAGTTTTTAGGTAACCAAACTTCAAAATTGTTAAATATATATTCTTATAATTGATAGTTATAAGTCGATTCACAACTTCGAGATGCATGGAGAGGGATTATTAGTTTTTATTGTTTACCGTTTTTCGCTGGCTTTTAAAAAATAGACACGCTTGCCTGCCTGGATATGAGTATATGATTTTTTTTAGAAAATACAAAAAAAAAAAAAATCTAAAACTTTTAAAAAGTTCAGATACTACATGAAACATACAGCACAGATATGGGAACATTTCCTATACATGGATACAGTACCTCAATCAAGTATACATGCTACATAGCTCCAGATATTGTGTACTCTCTAATAATATTTAAATTGATATTAATAATTAAACTTATATATTCAAAATTACACTAAAAGTTTGATTGAACTGCCAAAAATTCAAAAATCAATTCAGATATTTTGAAAGTTTTGATGTATAGAACCAGAAATAAAAAAGGACTTGAATAGTGAACTAGAACTTTTAATGCAAAGAATACTAGATATGCTTGGTTTGGTTTAATGCCCATGGAAATGTTTTTTAACTTTTTGGTTTAATGCCCATGGAAATGTTTATTCTGGACTTCTATCGTTACCTATCATAAAATGTCATGGTTTTGATTGAGAGGTGTTTAGGGAGGGTATCAGTGTGATCCATTCATTAGTTTGGTACCAAAAATGATGCAAACCAAAAACTTATTCATCATTTAGGCATTTTACCAGCTAATAAACAGTTTTTTCCCGAAGTGATTTATACAACCCTATTGAAAGAGTATGGGTAGAGAAACATTCTTTACTTCATTTTGTAGCTATATTGCAGTGCAAACATTAATGGATGATGAAAAGTAATCTAACTTTTCTATCAAATAGATGCTTGCCATGGAGGAGTATAGGCACAAAATGTACCAAGCTCATTTAGCCATAGAGATTTATTGCTACAAGAAACATATTCCCATGAACCGGGTATATCAAGGACTCAAGGTATTAGAGAACACTAGAATAGCTAGCTGGACTTTGTGAACTGATTAAGAGCAGAAAGGTTTCTCATATGATCATATCTCACCAATTTATATGTTTTCCTCAAACTTAGTAGAATCTGTTAATCTGATGTTGAACATAGTGCCAATTAATAGCTAGACTCATAACATGTTATCTTTATAATTATTCTAAACTCAAACAGGGGATGTTTGTCCAAGTTTCCCTATTGGTCGAAAAACACCACCAAGATTTAGTTGGAGGGGCAAATTAGCCCCTAAAGTTGCTTTCATTTTTAATAAGTACAAATTGAATCTAGGTGCGAGTTTAGAGCTGAGCATTTTTGTTTGATCGAAAGAGTTAAGCTGTATGTTTATTATGTTGATCACAGGCGTGTGCTTTCAGGGATTCATATGAGAAATTCAAGAAGGCAGGAGCTGAAGTTGTTGGGATTAGCAATAACAATACTACATCACACAAGGTTGTAATTTTTCCCTTAATTCCTTTTTCATTTTGTGTGAAGGAGTCACGGAGTATGTCCTAATGTTGCTAGCTGCTGCATAATGTATTAACAGAACTTTGCTAAGAAATATAGACTCCCATTTACATTGCTAAGCGATGAAGGGGACAGGGTGAGGAAAGAGTGGGGAGTCCCTGGAGATTTTTTTGGTGCATTGCCAGGAAGACAGACGTACGTGCTTGACAAAAATGGAGTTGTTCAACTCATCTATAACAACCAGTTTCAGCCGGAGAAGCATGTTGATGAAACACTAAAGCTACTTCCAAGTCTTTAATCTGCAGGCTGTATGTTGATATGTAATTTTTGAACTTTATGTGTGTGCTGCACTGTTAAGGATTAATCCGACAAACATCAATGAATAGATTGCTCTTCAAGTGCAGCGTCCATTTCGGGTTATTAATAATAACACTTAGTTTAAACACTTTTGCACACATTTCGTAAACCTACAATCCTTCACATAGACATACCAACAAAAACGTGTAAGGGAAAAAACCAGTGCCATTACAGATGCACAAATCAACGTTTGGGCGCGCTAACCAAGCTTGTGACATACATTAGTCTGATGTTTATGGGCACAATTTACATATTTTTCAGATGTAATTTCTTCACATTAAGATGATTTGTCAATCGCCTAATTTCGTTTGAGAAAGCGGTCCAGCACAGCTGGTCGCTGACTCACTCTCCCTTGATGGAAGGTCCCGGATTCCCAGGTTCAATTTTCAATGGAGTGAAATTGATCTCAGTTTACCCCAGGCCTCCCAACCCCCCTCCCCCGACGCCCCCGGGGTAAAAAGAAGACCTAGTTTCGTACACAATGTGTACGAAAGTCAAAAGAGTGTGCTCCCAAGTCTGAAGTGTGTACAAAATGTCATTTTCCTATTTATGGTGTATCTAAAAAGAGTATATGCCTAGCCTCCATTTAGATGAGTTACGACTTATAAGTGCATATATTAGTATAAAGTCAAAAGAGTGTGCTCCCAAGTCTGAAGTGTGTACAAAATGTCATTTTCCTATTTATGGTGTATCTAAAAAGAGTATATGCCTAGCCTCCATTTAGATGAGTTACGACTTATAAGTGCATATATTAGTATATTACCTGACTTTTGGTTGCGAATGGAAGGGTGCAATACTTTCTCATGTTACCAAAGGAGAAAGAGAAGACAATGGCACCGTTTGGGTACTGGCGTTTTCACTTTTCAAGAAAATGCTGAAAATTTTGACCTACAAACGCTGCATTTTGCAACGTGTAGGTGTGGTGTCTAGCCGCTGAAAAACAAACAACCTCAATACATGATTCTTTGTCATATAAGATTTTTAAACACATTGGTGCTTATAATCCATTTTCTTGAATTACCGAGTCTAAAATCCATTGGATGTTTACATTTTCCCATTACCAAGTCTATAAGACATTAGAAAATTCTTTTGGTACATTCTCAGGTCACAGACAAATTTGGTTGTTTTTATACAAATGGCTTGTGACACTATAAAAAAATACTTGTTACTGACAATCCCCCCAAATTTTATTTTTACTGCAAATAGCTTGTAATAAAAACTGATCAGATTTGTCTATGACACATACAAATTAGTTGTGTACACGTCTAGGCGTGTACACCTCTCGGAGGGTACATGTCTGGATGTGTAACAGACTACGAAAGAATTTCCTTATATACACCTGAAATCAAATATTTCAGGTGAAAAGGGTAGGATTGAGTTGCCACGTCCATCATGCGAGATTTTCACATCTAGTGTGTGTGTGTGTATATATATATATAGAGAGAGTAATCTTCCGGTCAGGTATACCTGACCGCAGCCGCCGTCCGGCCTCCTCCTTTTGGGGGCCTTCCCGGTGGTATTTTTTGCTCAAATTTTTTGTGTATGTTCCTCATCAAGTCTAGTTCATCCATACCAAATTGCAGCAAAAAATTCAATCGGGAAGGTCGTCAAATGATTTTTTCAAGTTAACTGGTCCGGAAAATACATATTCCGGACCAGTTAACTTGCAAAAATCATTTGACAACCTTCCCGATTGAATTTTTTGCTGAAATTTGGTATGGATGAACTAGACTTGATGAGGGACATACACAAAAAAATTGAGCAAAAAATACCACTGGGAAGGCCCCCAAAAGGAGGAGGCCGGACGGCGGTTCCTGTCAGGTATACCTGACAGGAACATTTGTGTGTGTGTGTGTGTGTGTGTGTATATATATATATATATATATATATATATATATATATATATATATATATATATATATATATATATATATATATATAGAGTAGTCTTCTTGTCCAGCCGGCCTGACGGGAACCGCCGTCCGGCCGAGGGCATTTCGGGCACTTCCTGATGGAATTTTTTGATGAACTTTTTTGAGCATGTTCTTCATGAAGTCTAGTTTATCCATACCAAATTTCAGCTCAAAATTCGATCGGGAAGGCATTCAAATAATTTTGTGAAGTTAACTGGGCAGTTTATATGTATGAACTGCCCTGTTAACTTCACAAAATTATTTGAATGTCTTCCCGATCGAATTTTGAGCTGAAATTTGGTATGGATAAACTAGATTTCATGAAGAACATGCTCAAAAAATGTCATCAAAAAATTCCATCGGGAAGTGCCCGAAATGCCCTCAGCCGGACGGCGGTTCCCGTCAGGCCGGCCGGACAAGAAGACTACTCTCTCTCTCTCTCTCTCTCTCTCTATATATATATATATATATATATATATATATATATATATATATATATATATATAGACCCCTTAACGTGAGAACGTGAGAACAAATCTTAACCACAGATCTCGGTAAATTAAAGGCCAAAAAAGGAATAGATACACCGATGTATAGTGGAAGTGCAAACACTCAATAAATTATCATGGAATCTCTACTCAACCGTAGGTTAGATGAAGGACATTAAAGTAATTAAAAATAAATCCATACGGTTGAGGATAATCATCTCCCTAAAAAGTAGGTAATATTAAAACTCAAATCTTATAAAATTTCTTTAGTTTAAAAAATGATTTTACTTCTTAAATGATAATCCGATTTTAACAAAAATTACACCAAATTAAATAACTTTTTATTATCTTTCATTTGACACCAATATCACCTATATAATTTGTAAAAATAATATATGGATAAAATTTGTACAATAAAGCACAACAAGCATCTACAGCTACCACATGCACAAGAACATATATCTAACACACAATTATCAATATCTCTTGAACACCTCAGGATTTCATATAATTTATTAAGTAGATACTCCTAGATACTATTATTATAATACACATGAACTAGTATCAACATCACAATAGGTATATACGATAGACAACTCATATCTAATGCACAGTATTGACATAGAAAATCACAACAAATATGTCATGCACAAGAATCAGTATCTAACCCACAATCCCGAATAATGCATTTGTGTGACATAAAAGATGAAATCTAAATAACAAATGGTGCTGAGATGTGGCATTAACAATCGTTTAATGTGGCATCGGTTGGAACTTTATCACTTACCAAAAAATTAGGAAAAGATAAAAGGTCAAATCATATAAAATATTTTAGTTTAAAAATTGATTTAACTTTTTTAATTATAATCTGATTTTAACAAAAATTATATCGAATTAAAGAGTTTTTTATTATCTTTCAAATGACACCAATATGTCATATATAATTTTGTTTTAAAAAATGTAAGTATAATATGTATACAATAAACTACAACAAACATCTTTGACTACGCATACACAAGAATATGTATCTGACACACAACTACTAATATATAACACACAAGAACAAGTATCTAGTACACAATTCGTGTAAGAAAAACTAAAACAAGTATCTTAAGCACAACATCCAATATCTAATGCACAAAGAGCAGTGTCTAACACAACAATTAAAAACTACTACACACAATAAGAATTTCACACAACTTAAACTAATATATAACACACAAGAATCAGTATCACACACAACAATTAATATTTAAAGCACATGAACCGAACATCTTACTCTTTGTTTGGATAATATATATGTTAGCACATGAATAAATTTATCAAATTAAATATTTTTTTAATTATCTTTCATATGACATCAATATGTCTTATATAATTTTGTTTTGAAAAAATAAGTATAATATGTATATAAATGACCACAACAAACAACTTCAGCTACCGCATGCACACGAATATACATCAGGCACACAACCACTAAAATCTAATGCACAAGAACCATTATCTACCACGTAATACGTATAATTAAGTAAAATTAAAAAAAGTATCTTAAGCACAAGAGCCAATATCATACGCACAAGTGCACATGAAAAAGTATTGTGCAAATAATTCGTATATAACACATTAGAATCAATGTACTCCCTCCGTCCCTAATAACTTTGCCAAATTTGACCGGCACGTGGATTAATAAAGTAAAAACTGTGTGGTTGAGGTTTGTGCAGAGGAGAGAGAATTAACTAAAACCACAAATTCTTTACTTAAATGGGAAAGTGGCAAAGTTAATGGGACATCCAAAAAAGGAAAGTTGGCAAAGTTATAAGGGACGGAGGGAGTAATACACATGAAACATGTGAAAATATATTATAATGTGATGCACAAGAATGAATATATAATGCAAATGAAATGAATATGTATGAATTGAAAGATAACAACAATTATAATGTATCAAAAGATTCCAAAATAACTGATTATATTCAATATAATAACATCAAAAAGTTAATTGTCAACCAAAACTAAATACGTAGGTGAACTAAGCTTAAATAATGATGACCGGTCAAATACTTACCAAATTAAATAACCTACGAATGATTACTAATATAATTCCATTTAATGCTTCCACTAATAAAGCACTCAACGTATTAATCGAAAAATCAGTTACACAAACCACCACAATATATACCCTTTATACCCTTTAGTTGATCGTATGTTAGCATATATTTTGGATGGCCAGGATGTGTTCTCACGTACTCACGTTAAGCCTCGTTCTCATTTGAACCAATATATATATATATATATATATATATATATATATATATATATATATATATATATATATATATATATATATATATATATATATAGACACACACACTAGATGTGCAAATCTCGCATGATGGACGTGGCAACTCAATCCTACCCTTTTCACCTGAAATATTTGATTTATTGTTTTATTAATACATAATAATTTGTATTATTATATGCGGAGTTTTTCCACCACCATTACTATTACTAGAATAATGCTAATGATATATGAATGTTTTTTAAATATTTCAAAAGAATAAAATAAAATTTTCAATTTTAGTATGTCATTGTCACAAGAGAATCTTTCACGTCGGTGGTGACAAAGTCCTCTAAATTTGTGTGATGTCACGGGTTCAATAAAATGTCCATCTTTATGTACTTGTCAACTAGCAAAGTCCTCTAAATTTCCATTAATGCCATATACTCGTGTTATACTAGCAAAGTCCGTCCCCCTACTTATCTAATGATGGACACATTACTTTGTTTTATATGTAAATGATTATTCCCGATACATGTGGTATTATCTGATGAAACAAAAATCTGGTATTTATGGCATTTTCC